TAAATAGGCGTCCTCACTCTTTCTCTTTTCTACTTCCATGATCAAATTAAATCATAATCTGTGGTTTTAAAGGAATCATGAGAATTTGTCAGAACAGTGTGATTTTCAATACTACCTAAACTACCCAAAAAAAAACTATTTTTCCTTATTTAATGCAAAATATATCACATCTGGATCTATTTTAGTGAATCCTATTTTGGTATGCATACCTTTAGAAGCTTCATTTGAATCTGAGATGACAACACACAGTTGAACTCCATTTTGTAATGACTGTCTTGCTAAATTTGCTGTCACTATACTAGCCAAACTTTGTCGTTGATACTCTGGCAAAGTTTGTGTAAACCCAATATCTCCGAACTCTTTAATTGCACCCCATGATATTGGTTGTTGTTTTTCATTGTAAATTGCTAAAGTTGGCTGGTACTTGATTAGGTTTTCAAATCTTTGCAACGGTGGTGGCTCTGCATACATCCATTTGCTGTGTAAAAGTTTTGCATGATCCATCTGCAATGGTGCAATTTTAAACTTTTCTGGCAAGACCATTTTTGTAATGAAGTTCTTGAGTCTGTCTTGGTCTGTCAATATATATTGGTGACAAAAATATGTTGGTTCTTTATTTAGTAGTCCATGTTCTCTGCAGAGCTGCTTCATCACTTCAAATGAGAGAGTGTCACCAGCTGATTTTATTATTCGTGCATTCCACTCAACCACACCAGTTTGTTGTAATAACTGTTTTAGATTTGCTGGATTGGTTGAATACAAGAAATAAAAATATATTCCCTTCTCTTCGTTATATGAATATTCATGACAGACCACACTAGTTATTTTCTTGATATCAAGATCATCTATAAAAATATCAAGAATTGGCCATTTGTTGTTATTCTTGTAACAGTTATGTAACATAGAGTAAACAAGTGAGGAAGCAGGCACTACTTTCTGCAGTTCAGGTATTTTGTTGAATTCCAGTAAATAAGCCATAACAGTTACTATGGTTACTGCTGATAACACTTTTGATGAAGTTGCTAAAAAGCCTGCAACGAAAGAGAGAAAAAATATGATTGTCACATGTTGCATTCATCTTCTTTTACATATTTCGTTGGTACACCAATTAGTTTATTTTTACTCAAAGAAATTACTTTCCCAAAATCGTATACCTGTTTCTGTCAATATACATGTACTAGTATTCTTGATGTTTTTATTAGCTCCGCAGTCGACTTTGTTGAGCGAAGCTTATCATATGAGTGATTGTACGCGGCGTCTGTAGTATGTAGTCTGTCGCCAACTTTTTACATTTTTGTCTTCTTCTTCAAACCCGTTAATGGCACAAATCCATAGCATTTTGTTCAATGATTCCCTCATACAGGATCATGAAAAATAAGTGGAATGGGGGTGGGGGGGTGGGGGGTGGATAAATCAGAATATAAAGAGTCTAAGACTCGATAGGTTTAAAGCCCTAGACAAAGTTGGTAATGAATACAAGCCCAATTGTGGTTTTGAGAATGTACCGGTATGTATCAGTATACAAAATATATGTACCAGATAACACAAAGCTAATAAAAGGTCGAAAATGGTTGACATAGAGGCATTAAAAGAGAAGACATATTCTATCATCTGTGTAACTGTAATGAAGTTGCATGGTGATGAAAAACATTACCTTTTCAGATGTAACCATAATAATAATAATAATAATAACTTTATTTAATTAAGCACAACAATTCCAACATATGAAGATCAAAGGCGCTGATACAATAAACAATCAGTCAAATATTAAAAGCACATTTAAATAAGTGTATTTTCAGTCTGGATTTAAAAATGTCTACTGAAGGACTAGAACGAACAGACAGAGGTAATTCATTAAAAAGTTTAGGACCTAAATTTTCAAAAGCACGGTCTTTGTATAACACCTTGGACTTTTTACTACACACCTGACGAGTTTTAATAAGAAACTTCGATTCAGATCTTAAACTACGACTCGGTACATAAAATTTGATTCATTCACATAGATAATTTGGGGCAAAACCATACAAAGATTTATACACTAGTAAAAGTACCTAATTTGAAATTGATTCTTTGTACAACTGGTAACCAATGAAGTTTAATAAAAATGTCTGTA